CTCCAGCAGCTCCATGTCCTTCTTGTGTTGGGGTCCCAGAGCTGGACACAGCACTGCAGGTGGGGTCTGACAAGAGCAGAGGGGGAGAATCCCCTCCCTCGACCTGCTGGTCACAGTTCTTGTGATGCAGCCCAGGGTGTGCTCGTCTTGCTGGAGGATGAGCTGCCACTCTCTTTATTTGCAGAGGTTCATAATGATCCAATTTCTGCTTCACTAGTTCTCAGGAGGTATCTGCTCTAAAACAGAAAAAGATATTAGGGAAAAGATCCCCCTATTATGATTAATTAGTCACTCTGCTTCAACACTTGTAACTGTCTCCAGGATGGGGCCGATACCTATTTTGGTGGTGAGATCCCTAAAAATGGGTGACAGCACACAAACCCAGTGCCTGTGAGATCCAGCCTGTCAGCAAGCACATCAAATTCATTATTTTAAAAAAAAACATCACAACAAAGTGTCACAGCTGACAACCTGGTTACCAAGAAGTTAAAAGAAGAACTTGATTTTCTGTAAAGCTGAAATTTAGAAAATCTGAAGCAGCCAGAAAATCTGGTTCCCTTTGCTGCCTGTAGCTGACTCATTGCAGGCAGATAAAAAACATTTATCCCCCAGTTCCCAGAGATTTTCAGGAGAACCAGAGTGATGTCGAATCAAATGAGGCGAGGCTGCAGCCCTCAGAGAAAATACAAGAACAAATACTATTTGTGGAATTGTTTTACCCCTTGGACAATGGGGTATAGATAATTTCTTTCCTTTTCGTCAGAGTGAAGGTGAGAAGTGCCTGTGCTCCAACAGCATCCAAGAAAATTAAAGGATTCAGGGAGAAACAGGATCTTGGAGAGATCAGAGCCACATTTAACATCAAGCCATTAACTGGAGTCTTTAACTGGAGCCTGACCTTTTCCCTGACACGCAGTGTATCACTGTAAAGCTTGGGAGATGCCTGTCAAGGAATTTTCCTCCTTTTAATTTAAGTTCTCCCTATTGCCTGGGTTACATTAATCAAGTTACACCTTCATTCTGCATCTCATGGGGAACAGGTATTTGCAGATGATCTGATTTTTGCAGCAGAGAATGTCTTTGTTTTGCTAACAGAGATGCAGGTGTTACTTGCAGCAGCATCCCCTCAGCTCCAGCACCCCCAGGGCCCTGTGTGCTGGAGCTGCCTGTGACAGGCAAAGCTGTCACCTAGAAAAGCCAGGAATTGGGCTCAGGCAGGGATCCCAGCCTGGGATTTAACTTTCAAGGCAGCCTCCCCTGCATGAATTAACCTTCAGGCTAAACACAAGCCATTCACCCCACAGAGCTTATCACGTTCCCTGGTGCAGCCAGACAGGGTTTGCCTCTCCCATACACATCTGGAAATACCAATTAGCATCTCTGAGCCCCATGTTGTGTCACTGGAGAACGCTCATCTTCCCTTCTAGTCACACTGCTTTGCTAATCAAATGGAAAATGCGTAAAATAAAAATGGCAACACGTGCAAAGTAAAAATATTCTGAGTGAGAAGAGCAGTTCTGCTCCCCACAACTAACGAGGAACAGGACTGCAAGGGGTTTAGTGTCACCTCCAATCCAGATGTTTTGCACTTGTAGGAGTAAAACAATCAACACGCAGGGAAATCTGTTCGTTCCTCTAAAAGAAGGGGCAAAAGAGGGGAGAACATCTGAGGCACAAGAAAATAGCCTGTCCAAGGCTGGATGACTCTGCAGAGCCCTCCTCCTTTACCAGGACAGCTGGTCACCCCATTCCTGGGGACAGCAAGCCAGGAGGTGGAAAAAGATACATGGGAATCGTAGAATCAAAGAACAGCCCAGGTTGGAAGAGATCTTGAAAGGTCAGCTGGTCCAACCTGTCATGGGAAAGGAGCTGGATGAGGTTATCCATCGCCCTATCCAGTTGCATCTTGAAATCCTCCAGTGATGGGGACTCCACCACATCCCTGGGGAAGTTGTTTCCACGACTGACTGTTCTCACTGTAAAAAATGTCTGTCTTGTGCCAAGTTAAAACCTCTTCTGGTGCTACTTGTACCTGTTCCCTGTTGTTTTCCACATGACTCCGTGTGAAGACAGAGCCTCTGTACTCTGCAGCTGTGATGAGGCCCTGCCTGAGCTTTCTCTTCCCAGGAAAAAGGGACCTGACTCCTTCAGTCTTTCCTCACAGGGCAGGTGCCTCCGGTGAAAGGGAGCAGAAGGCCAAGGGGATGGGCAGCAAAGGGAGGTGGCGGGTTGGAAAAACACTTCTCTTCAGAAAACAAGAGCATGTTGGGCATGTGAAACCAGACGATGCCCTCACTAACAGGGAGGAGCAGCCCTGCAGGTGTGGCCCATTCCCTGGTGGATGCAGCCCTTCTGGTCCAGCCCTGACCCTCCCCTCACCCCCGTGCTCTGGCCCAGGTCTCACACGGTTCAGCACACGCGGCAGGGAAGCGGAATTGGCACAGGGAGAGGTGCCCTGTTACACACCTGCCAGCTTGGCACCACACTGCTTTCCTTCTCTTCCTGCCCCACCTGGAGACTCAACATTTGTCCACAGTCCTCCTGATGTACTTCAGCCAAATCCCAGTTTAAAACGATGCTGCTTTAGAAAGAGAAGAAAAGGTGAGCAGCAGAGCTTTTGGAGGAAAACAAGGTTTACCACACTAGGGAAGGCACAAGGACGTAATTTAGAACTCAATTATTTGAGAAAAGCTGATTTTCCTCTTTATTTTTCATGTGCTGATCACATGTTTCTGCGTTTTCGTGGAAGAAAAAATAATCAAGAGACTAAAATTATCACGAATACTTATCTGTATTCAGGTGAGGGGCCACAGGTTCCTTTTGCAAAGGAAACTCAGCATTCGTTGGGCAAATGAAGAAATTGCCTCTGAAGGATTTTTACCTGAAGGAAGATGTTTTCCGTGGACCTGTGGAGTGCAACCCTGGCAGGGGATTCAGATATTCGAAGTTGTGGTGATGCTTTTACTCGAGATAATGGCTTTTAAAAATCCTCTACGGTGCCTTTAAAAGCCAGCACTGCACAGCTGCACCATCTCGTGGTGTGACAGAGCCCTGCATGGCCCGAGCCTTTAAACCCCTCCTTATTTTCCCGAAACTTGGATCGTAGATGCATCAAAGCCAAGTGCACCCACTGCCAGACCATGCCATGGCTTGGCCCACCACAGTTCAGAGCCACAAAGCCCCCTCCGGACCTCCCCCAGCTCCACTTCTTCCTGCCTGCTCATCCCTCTCCCCAAGGTGCCAACAGTACAACCATTTTCCAACCACAGCCATCATCATTCCAAATATTTGCCTGACCCCTCCAGTTATTATTTCAAGATCTATCCACCCCAGGCCAGTGGGTGATTATTCATCTGAACCTGCTCTACCTGCCTTACTAAGATGTGTTACAGATGATTCCAATGAAATCAAGGCTCTGCTCACTACTTAGAGAAAATATTAAAAGGAATATTAAGGGTCACAGAACTACAGCCCTGTGATGCAAAGCCAAGGGCAAGACCTTTATGTGCTCAGTCTCAGCCCTACTCCTACACAGCACCTGGCCCAAGTCAGCAGTAAGTCCCTTCCAACCTAAATGATTCTATAATTCTGTGATTAAACAGGCTCATGTCTTGACAAAAAGCTTCCTCTCTTCTTCTAAATGCATTTGGCTTGTGAAAGAACAAAATGGCCCAAGACATCAGACTTTATGCCTGAGCATTTCAGATGCATAAAAAACCCCACAGTGGTTCTCAACCTCTGAGGGTACAGCACAAAGTAACCAGCAGATTTGGCAGAGACTAGGAAAAAATCCTAAAGGCATATCCTGTTAAAAACACACATGAAAACATCAGACTTTTGTATTTCTGTGGGTTTGTCTTCCAGTAAATGCTTAACTTACACCCAGCTTCTTCAGCATGCCCCTTCCACGCAGACCTAACTCGGGGACATGTGCCAGAGGAAAAGCTGCTTCCCAGGAGCACCTTGAACCAATCCAACTCAAGCACAAGTCAGCTCCCCCAGTTCCTCCCCATCCCTTAGGGAATCGATGTTGTTTGCCCACAGAGTGGTTGACCCAAAACCAGTGTCAGGTCACCAGCTCACCACCACCACGGATGGATCAGCACTCTCAACAGGTACTGCCAAAGTTAAGGAGGCAGATGCCACTGCAGCCTGGAAGGAAGGCAGGGATGTGCCTCCTGAGCCGCTCTCAGGCCTCATTTATCCCTACAAACCCAGGACAGGCAGGTGAGGAACCAACCCAGTGCTTCAGTTCCCAACAGTTTTCTCCCACTTCCTTATCCCCTCCCAGAATCCAGGATCTTTCTGCTTTCTCAGCTCCCACTTATGTACAGGCTTTAGTGGCTTTGGAAGCAGCAAGATGGCTTTATTCAAACCTCAGCAGGTTAACCAAGAACAGGAACTGAACCCACCTGCCAAACATGCTGCTAGGGGAAGGAGCCCTTGATGCTCAGCAGTCAGGGCTCTCATCTTTATTAAAGCCCAGCAAGTCCAAAGAGCTGTGAGAGGAATGGAATGGGGAGAACTCTCTGGCCTGATTCTCTGAAGCCTTTGCTTCCCCCTCCCAGTATTTCCCCCCATGGAGAATGGCATGTGGGCACAAGAGGGGGATTCCTGGGAGCAGCCCTCAACTATGTTGTGCATTATCAGACATGAAGAGGATGAAAAAAATAACACAGATAGTTTATTGTCAAACTGAATCAAAGCGTGGGAAAAAAAAATAAAATCACAAGGTTACACTGTAAAGAAATTTGGTTTTCATCACAAAAGCTCATTAAAATTGGACAAGAGAAAACAACCCATTGTCAAGCCAGCAACTCCTCCGAGCCTTGGAGTGCAACATTTATTGAAACGCCGGGAATTCTGAGGCGGTGACATCGCGTTTGTAGGGACAAAACGATCAACCCTCATTATCTGGGAGAACGGAGGTTCTGTGAGGGGGTGACGTGTTTCTGGCTGAGCGGTGACTCCTCCGTTCGCCTTCGAGCAGCAGCAGCCTTGTCCTTGCTGGAGTCCAGCCCGAGACGATGGCCAAGGCTGGCGGGTGCCAGCTGCGCTGCCTTTCTTTGTCCAGCATTTTCCATCCTGATCGAGTGTGTTTACATCCCTCAATCAAAGGGGCTGTTCCAAAATTAAAGGCTGTCGGGTGCGCAGAGAAGAGCAGTGGGAGCTACGACGGGTCCACCGAGGCCCAGGGGACACAGACACAGCCAGCGCCTCCCAAACACCCAGTATGCTGCTGATCCAAGCAATGACCAAATCTAACCCTTCTAAACTGCTTTTGAATCTGGGAAAGTGTGTAACTGCCGATGCAGGGACCTGCCCTATGGAGCCAAACCCATCTGTGTGTGTCCCGGGCTTCAGAAATGCCCGTTACGTGGTATCGGGCAATTACGGAGAACCCAGTTCCTCAGTACAGCTCCTTCCCAACAAAACACTCCTGGAAGCTTCCCAAGTTCGAGTCTGCCAACCTGTCCAAACCCATGTATTACCTACAGATCATTTATTCACCAGTAGCTCCAGTGGAACCAGAGGAGTCCAGGAGAGCTTTGCCTGGTCTCCTGCCAGCGTAGCTGGGCCGAGGGGAAGTCTGGATGGCGAGGGTGGCTTGCCAGGAAAACTGCTGGAGACTGCAGGATCCCCTGGAGTGCAGCCCACCTGGAAGAGGCCCTATCCCATCCTGCAGGGGATTTCAGAGTGGTTGGCTTTCCTTCTGAGTCAAAAACACAATGAAATGGGGGAAAAACATGGGAAGGTGTTTAAGTACGTAGATTAGGGTGTGTTTGGTTTTAATCAGTCAGGACAGAACAATAAGGATCTTTCTCACTGCTATAAATGAGCTGTTTCATGAATTTTGAGACACTTGTTTTACTGAGTGAAAAAAAAAGAAAGGCATCTTTATCCTAAGTAGCAGCTAAGGAGACTGGTAAAACTAAAAAAAAAAAATCCCCTAAACAAATCCCCCCCAAAACAAACCTAAAAAAAATTTTTTTAAAAATCAACCCCCTGACTCACCAGTACAAAGTAAAGGCAGTCTAGTCATTCCAACTGATCACAGGACTAACTAAAAAATATTTTTAATTGCAACTAGTGTGCTATCTTGAGCCAGCTGCTTATTCCAACAGGCCTGAGGTTTTCTGCTCATAAAGCATCAATAATATGTGCCTTTTCCTAGAAAGGAAGGCTCTGCCTAAGTCTTATTGTGTCAGATAAAAAGTCCCAAAATAGATTTTCCAACCAAATAAAGTGTTTTATTCAGATATTCATGTGGATATGGCAGTGATGTTAAGAACAGCTATTCAAGTAGCTGAAGTAAGCCCTTCAAAAGAAGTCACACAGCTTTGAGACTTGAACAAATTATTGTATGATCTCATCCAAGAGATCTAAATAGCTGGAACATCTGCAGGAGTCGCCACCAATTTATTTAGCAGAGTTCAACAGTAGTTCATCAGCTCTGTTTGCACAAGCAGGTGCCAGGGCAGGCACTGAGGAGTCCTGCACACGACATAAAAAGAGGAGAGGGGGAAGAGGGTTGGACATAGATGGATGATTTTATGATTTAACATGGATGTGCATTAGCAGGAATAATGTCCCTGACAAATTAGGGCAGTGCCTTTTACTGAAGAAGTGCAGAATTTCTTTTTCCCAGAGAAGTATTACATGCACAAGTAACTATATTGTTAAAATTTTTTATTTGTGACAGTAAAGAAACCATTCAATACCTGATTGACAACACTTCTCTCTCCTGCAAACACTCATATGGTATCTGTAGTGTTTCTCAAGTATTGCTGGATTGTTCATTGCATCAAAGTGTAAACAGCTCCATCATAAGAAAAAAAAAAAAGAAGGAAAAAAAGAAAGAAAGAAACATTTCCATTGCTTACTCCTCCGTTAAGGAGTTCCCAATAGACCTTTAACAAGAAATAAAAGAGAGTCAGCTGGGATTTTACAATACCATGTGAAACAGAAAACTGACAGCTGGTTTTGCATAGTTACCCAGAGATTCTGAAGCAATTGCCCCACGCCAGTCTCACCTGCCCCCTCCTCGCCCCACAAAGGCAAAAACATCACAGCACCTTGGAAATCAGAGGCACAAACTTGTTTCTGTTTTACAAATAGGGCTGTGCGGTACTGTGGTTTATTAGGTAAAAAACAACCTGTAAAACAGAGGATTTACGTCTCCAGAACTTATATCATTACTTTACTTTTTTTTTTCTTTTTTGATACACCGAAATTTCAAAAGCTGCAACATCAGCACACACCAGTGTCATTTAGATACTTTATTGTCCCCAACCAGTCTAATCAAAATCATGCTGTAAGAAAGTGATTTGCGTACACTGACAACCAAATGTCTCCAGGTGTTGAGCTTCCTCCGTGTAGAACTTCGCTGTTTAATAAAGATCAAAAGGGCAAAACAAAGAGACAAATTACTCTTCCAAAGCTACCTAAATGAACACAGCAATATTGTACATTTTGCTACCATCTCCCATTCCAAGCCTGCCACGCTTCCTGGTGGTTGTTAACAAGGACTCTGCGCACAGCCCTAGTTTACAAATGGCAATTTAATCGTTAACACCTCAGCTGAATTTAAAGAATCTAAGGCAATTCTGCCTTACAGCTTAATTCAAAAATACCTATACAGGCAAAAAACCGTTTTTAACCCGACATAAAAAGGACAACAGAACTTCAGGCCAGGCAGCATCTCTTTAGCTGAACAGGATGACCAACTGGAAAAGACTTTTTTAATAACTTCTATAATATCCAGAAATAATAAAATTGAAAGCCAGGGTTTATAACAGCCCTGGTGACCTGCATGCACTAACTGCACTTCAAAATATGCAAGAGATTTAGGAAACAAGTATTTATTTTTTTTTCCTATTTTAGTTTTTAAACTCTTGTATTTAAAATACAATCAAATACCCGTATTGCAAATTTTACAGACATTCCATTATCTGACTGTATGGACAGAACTATATTGCTTTGTTACAATCTAGAAACTAAATATAGAGCGTTTGTATATCCACGCAAACTCAACACTTGAAATTTCAAGTACGATGATAAGTGTCAAAATAACCAACTAGGACAGTTTGATCCCTCTGGTCAAATCTGAATACACAGGGGATTCCAAACCTGATTGCAGAGCACTCCAAGTGGGTTAAAAAATAAAAAAAAATTACTAAATTACTCAAAACTTACAGAAAATACTCTTAATATTAAGAGATCAAAGCTGTGGCTAAGTTTTTTGCCTTTGTCACAAAATGTTATTTTAATGCTTTACTAAAACTAACTTATTAAAATAATTTGGGTTGGTTTTTTTTTTTTTTTTAAATTTGTGGATTTCAAGAGCCAAAATAATACAGTGTTAAGTACGGTTTGTACAGAACCTCATCAGAACCCTTCCTGCAGAAGCTGGTGCAGAAGTTCAGTTGCCCCTTCTATGTGGATTTTAGAACAATACAAGACACTTTTAATAGTCAACATTCATTCACAGACTTAAGGCAACTGGTTCATGAAATCTTGCTGCTTTCAGAGATGCAAACGGATGACATGGTTTGTCTCACGTACAACAGGTCACCACGGTGGGTTATTTATTGTCTGTTTGGTCTAACGCTTTTGAGAAAGTCTTAAAGTTTTTTTGTTTTTTTCAGCCATTCCTCTCATACCTGCACGACTAACTACAACCTGAATACTTCCCTGCAAACTGCATTTGAAGCCCAGAAGCCGCAAAACGCAGTTGAAAAAAATACTGCTCAGAGAACAACTTTTCTTTTTTTTTTTTTTTTTTTTTTTTTTTTTTGGCAGCTTACGGGTTTTCGTTACTCTGAAGTCAAATACAAAATTAAACAATCTTAAACCGAAAGGGAACGTTAATGGACTAACCAGAATCCACACGTCTCTCTTTTTATTTTTTTACCCCCGTTTTTATTTTTTAAACAAAGTAGGCTTTTTTTTTTGATTTTTTTTTGTTTTTTGTTTTTTTTAAATTTTAGATTTGACGGTTTTGTCTTTCGTTGTGGCACAGAATTGTACAGTACTAAGGTAATGCCAGCTGGTTAAGAAACAAAACGGTGATGCCATTACAGACTCACACAGAGTGTGACGGGACTGCCTCCAACACCCCTGGGTGCAGCCACAGCTGGAGCACAGCTGCTCACTTTTATACTGTACCTACAACCTACTCACTGCCTGCCCTTCTATGAACGTTGTTAAGCTGCTTCACCAATGATTTTAGATGAGGATCACAAGCCAACTTGCAAAAAAGTTGTTTTTTGTCTTTTTTTTTTTCCCCCTCAAATCTTCAAGACTTTTAGAAAGAAAGAGAAAAGGCAAAGGGGATCTGCAATTCACAATTTAGCACGAGGCTAACTAGAAGCACCGAATAGTCCATTTAGTCTTCTCTGATGACAGCCAAACACAGCTGCACTTTTTTATGTTTGCAGATTTCTGGGGTGGAGGATAATTAAAAGGTGACGCTGGAAAGGGGGGAGAAAAAGTAAGAAAGAAAAGGTGCGCCTTTTCTTCAAAGGCTTAAAATGTTTAAGTTATTCAACTGAAAAAGCACCTCTGACACTGCAGAAGATGCTAAGCAGGTTCTCAGACTCAGAGATGAGTCTAACTCAACTCCAAAGCCAGAGGAGCCATTTTAGTCTAGGCTAGTAACTTGTGCCCTTCTAGCAAAGCTCGATACAGCTCCCAATCTGTACCTTACAGCTTGGGGGGAAAAGAAATACAAATCAGAGATGTGAGCAAAATGCTTTTTTGCATTTTTATATACCAACAAAAGGAGAGGGCTTCACCCCAATTGAAAAAAAAAAAAAGATTAAAAAAAATGCCCTTTACAGGGTCACCTTTAACTGAGTTCTCTGGTATTTCAGATACCATTGGATTAATCCATGGGGGTGGGTTATGAAGCCTGCATTTTATTTATTGCCCAAGTTTGCAGCTTACAGAAAATGTTTCATAGCACAGGCACAGTGGCAAAAACAGTATAACAGCCGATGGTCAACTCCATTTGGTGAGTATACAGTAGCAGCAATTAAAAGAAAAAAGTACTCCAAACAGCTCAACACAGATCCAGCTTACCCAGACGGGCTGTTTTAAGAAAAGAATCTTAAACTAATAAATAGATCTCCTCCTCCCCGTTCTCCCGAGATAATGGTTTTCCGAAAATCGAGAGGCATGGCAGTTGTGCGTAAGCAGAGACAACAGAATTTCATCTGTCTACAAGAGAAGGTGCTCTAGGTCTATCAGTCACCTTGTTTTCTCAATTCCATCATTCCCTGACACTCGAAACAACTGCAAGATATGTTCCAAACCGTGCCCAAAATCATCATCGGTGAAACAACCATGTAATGAACCCAATTCACCCCTCCCACGAAACGCCCGAACCTTCCGAGCGTGGCAAAGTGTAATGCAACTTAATGTCACTGTGGAGACAGGAACCCAGCATCTTGGTTTCAACTTTTTCCTTTGTTATATATTACAGTGCTCTATAAAATTTTTTTCCTTTTTTCCTTTTAAAGCATTTAGACAATACAAGACTAAAAGATGTCTGGAAATACGTCTTATACAAAAATGAATTTTTTTTTATCTTAAAATAACATTCAAAAAGGCACTTCATTCTGTAAGAAAAAATTCAGAGTCAGGTCAACTGCTCTAAGCAGGGGGGTAAAATTGTCTGCATAGTGGGAGGGGAAGAAAGGGAGAGAAATTCAACTGCTGAAATACAAGCTTCTTTTTTTTTTTTGGCATGTTTTAAGAAAAGCTGATCCAGTAAAAGATGTCCATTTATGAAATTAATTAAAAGAGTCCCACTTAAAATAGCTTCTTTTTTTTTTTTCCTTTAAAAAAGTAGTCTGAACACATGACCTTAGGAGTCAGGCTTCTGAAGGCTTAAGAGCATCACTCATGATTGTCCTTCGTGTCCAATGTAACAGGAAGATCAAGAGTAGCACTTCTGACAGGGGTGACCTCCCCAAAGCTTACATTTGAAAGAGCTGAAAAAGATGGAGACAGGCTCTACTGCAATCTAGTAGCAGAAGTCAGTCAAAGTTAAGGGCTACCTGTTGCAGAGTTTATGAAGCATACTGTAAACTTCTTCCTCTTTGCTTAGTCCTTCAAAGAAAGGAATAAGATCTAGCAGCTCTGTGTCTGTCATGTCATCAAACCAGGACTGCACAGGCACCTGAAACAAAGCAACCAACAAACACTGAGAGGGTTTCATGACGTGAAGGACACGTGAGTTTTGCCTGTGTGGGTGTCCTGTAACACTCATCATCACAAATAAGGCAAATTGCTAATCATTAGCATTCAGGTGGAGCACCGGGTTCAAGCCCATGTTTTCTAGCACCCAACCCCAACCCCAAAGCCAAGTGCAGGACAGCTGACCTTCACCTGCATGTCCAGGTCACCTACATGACCCCACACTGGGCAGCTCGACTCGCTCTGCCTCCTTAACATTCCAGAACAGACTGGAAGGGAGACACAGGTTATAAAGCTGCACTGACAGTTTATTTACAGGCAAGTGTGGGTTGTTTTTTTTTCCTCTAAGAATTATCAGTGTGAGTCACCAGACAGAGGAATGCAGCAACAACCTCTTCTGGCGAGGGGTTTGGAGGAAATACTTAACAGCGAGTACAGAACAGAGCTCAGATTAAAATATTAGACCTCGAGAACAGGTTCAGAAAATAATGCATGTAATAACCCTTCTTAAATACGTGGGCTGGATGTGTATCTTCACTATGGAAGTGCACTGAGGTCTTTTAAAGACTATCTTGGATCTTGTTACAAGCTCTGGTTTCTGCAGAGACTCGAGTATCAGTTCGCTAGCAGCACTTTTCTATACATGAATAAACCACTCTGACAAGGCCCTTAACTTCATCTCCCAAATTTCTACAGCTCATTATTTTCTTGGCACTGATTTCCGAGATACCAAACGATGATCTGGATCAGGTTTTTGATTTTAATCATGAACATAAATTTAGAGCTTCAGCTCCTGGTTATTATAAATGGCAACTTTAAACCACGTGTGGCACCAACTAGAGAAATGTTTTCACCACATCACTTGAGGCATCACAGTTTTAGGATCTGAACTTAAAAGCTGCCTGCTGCAAGATAAACAGCTCATGTTAAAAAAAAAAAAATGCTATTCCAGAGAGGCAGGACCATGGAAAACAGTGGTCCTGATCAAAATTTTCCTACGCTAATTTTAACAATTCACAAAGACGACAGGTTAAAAACATCAAAGAAGGCACTGCACAGCCTGGTTGTTTAAAAGTCAGTAGATGCAAGGGAGTTCCAGCTTCTATCCTGGCAGCTACAAAGCAGCTGCCAGCATCTGTAGCAATGGAGGGAGCAAGTGCCAGACCATTCCATCCGAGCTCCTGGAGCCACCAAACACACGCTGACAACGCACGCTGCTCCTAATTACTGTCCCCTGAAGTACTAATGCTGCTTGTCTTTTATTCTTGTTCCTAAAACCTGATGAATTTGTTGGCTAACATTTCTAATTATGAAGGGAGTTATCACGAAAACACTTGAAGGAGAACCATAACAACACAACAGGATCCTGACTTTTTTTCTCTCCCTTACCCGCAAACACAGATTTCAGACAGCAACCAGTAGAACATTCACTCTTCTTGCCTAATAAATATTTTCATTCCCACAATGAAAAAAGATGGGAGTACAAGAAGTTGTTCGAGCAAACCATTCTGTCTGTAATCACCACTGCAAAGAACAAAAGCTGTGCTGCAGGGCAGCTTTGGTTTTCAGAGCTAAGTTAGTTCCTCAGGTTCCACACCACCTGGCATTTCTCAGAACTGTTGGACTTCATGCCACAAGCTAAAGCTGAAAGCACATGAGCAGCCATGGCTATGACACGCAGTCAAGATCAGTTTGCCCAAGTCCTTCACCACTTGGCAGTGAATCCCAGAAGCTACCTGCAGCCTAAGAAAATATGGAAACTAATACAAGGCAGGGTTCTGAAAGGTTATTTTCTGAATCAGAAGGTCTGGGCAAGGAACAGAAAGATGAAGTCAAGCTCGAGTACTTTGAATACTTACTGCATTTTCAGGATGGAAGATGTAAGATGCAGGAGAATTATCTACTATAATAACTTTACTCAGCTCACGTCCCAGTCGACTCAGATCCTTCACATAATTTCCTCGGTGGAAAACACAGGATTCTCTAAAGAGCCTTGCCCTGAATACACCCCAGCGATCCAGTAAGTCGGCCACTGGGTCTGCATACTTAAAAATAGAAGTCAGAAACATGGAGTTAGCAGCATACAGATAAGGCTGGTTCACAAGAGCCAGGCGAAGGAGGGACACGAAATAATTTCAGACAAAATGCCCTTTCTCCGTTTTCTTCCCTGCTCCTCGTTAATTAACTTACTTGCCCGCCAACCTGAAGTGATTAATAAAGAGATAATGCAAAAGTAGGACAATTATCTTTCTGCAGAAGGTTAACTTGCACTCTGATGTTTTTCTGTGATTTATTGATTAGGTTTTATTCTTAGGGCCAACTTACAGTTACTGTAAGAGTTTTCCAGAGGTTGATGGATCCAGAGATCTCAACTAACATTACTGTAAAACCAGCCAGTGCTAACAGAAAATCTATAGGAAGCATTTCCACAGCTGATTTGTTTCCATGTGCCTCTAAATATAAACTGTAAGGAACACATCTGAGCCTGATGTGGCTTTTCCAAGTGATGCCCCTGGAGTGACTGGGTCAGTAAGACTCTTAAGGTTGCCAAATTGCATAACTGGGCCACAGAGGATCAGACAAAGATGTTATTAGGAAAAATACCACAGTACTAGAGAAATTCTCATTTTATACATAAGATGATACTTGAGGTGAGGCACAGCTTAGAATCCAACAATTGATATAAACTGACCAAGAAAAAGTGTCCAAATAAACCAAAACATGAATAACCAGACACTTGAAAGAGGTAGTTGTAACTTATTACTGCAGGGCAGGAGTTACCATTTTGTTATATTTTTTTTCTGTATTTTAAACTGAGAAAAAAAACTGATGTTGAAATCAATCATCTTCAGACTATGAAAAATTAACAGACACCTTACTTCAGTACAAAATTGTTGCAGTATTTAGGATTTTTACAACACAACTGAACAGAACACGGTAAAGAGAATTCAGGGTAGAATCCTCTGGTAGGAAGGCATTACAGATCAGGGTCCTGCCCCCTTCTACCATCACTAGGTAGCACTAAAAGCTTGCCATGCTAGAGCATTATTTAGAAACAACCAATATAACTTTACAAACAAGACACCACAAATACAGTACACTGAAGGTGAAGAATTTTAAGATCAGTCCACTACTGTAACATCTACCACAAAACTACCTACAAACTACTACTGCTACTGCAGACCAGAGGGCACAAAATATTCCTGCTGACGTTTCAGGCTTTGCAAAAAAAGTCTCATTTTCCAACTCCAGATTTGCAATTGCACCTTGACAGAACAAAAAATAATAATAATAAAAAAAAAAAAGACGTGTTCCCAATTTTCAGCAAATTTCTGAGTCACTGGTTGGTGTGGATGGTGTTTAATTCAGTGTGTTTTATTTCGTGCCCAGCTTTAATGTGCTGCTTTACTCGCACGCTATTTGTTCTAATTTCTCACTATAACCATGGTAACTTGTGAGCCTTTCATATTGGCATCATGAGCAATGCATGGAGGCTACATTATGAGACGAGCCCATATGTGATGGTGTTACCATGGAAACACTTACCCACACACTAGCAGACAAAGTACACACTGTCAGACAAAGAAGCAGAAAAGAAGGGGAAAAATTAAGATAGTACCAAACTGTGGAAATCATTATCCATAGAAAACCCAACCAAAAAGTCCACTGACCAGCACTGAAAAGGTTAATGAGATGAGGAGAGGAACAAACCTTGGCTAGACTGGCTGTGAAGAGTACACATTCAAAGAGCTCTCCCATCCTCTGAAGAAACTCATCCACATGTGGTCGTTTCAAAACATAAACCTGGAATGATAATGACATTTGGGTCAGATGGTGCTCAAGGAAAATTAAAAAAACCCCACCAACCAAACCAAACCACTCCTGCAACCCCAACACTTGAAGAAACAAAAAAGTTAACAGGGAAGCAGTTCAAACGAGATGCTGAAAATAAAAAAAGAAGTGCACAAGATAAAAGTAGAGATCCAATAATGAGAGATTGGCACGCACAGGCTGCCAAGCCCCATGCTGATTATGCCATTGCAAACACTGTGCATCATCTGGAGTGATGCTTCTGCAAAAATCTCATTAAAGGCAAAGAGAGACAGGAGGCCTTCTCAAGGAACGAGGATTCGTGTCTCTCAACCAAAAAATCATTTTGGTGCTGGTGCCTTCGGTGCTGAAGAGCTTTAGAGAGGGAATAAATTCGATGAAAACTCTGTGATGACAGGAACTGCACAACAGGGAGCTGTTTTCTCTCTGTGGCTAATTCTCTCATTTTTTTAAATTCCAGGTGCTAAGTACCATATCTCACCATGGAGAGTTATCAGTCATCCAGCTCTGCAGGGAGCTTTGTTCACCAAAAGCCTTCCCAGCACCACACAGAATGCCTAAAAATGCTGTTTTTCAAAACAAAGTCTGCAGCATCTTCTACGAGGAGCTAGCCCTAAAGATGGCAAATACTCAAGATCTCTCTCCTCTTGGGAGAGATCCTCTCAGCAATGCTGTACTGCCTTTCTGCACTGACATCCACACAGGCAGCTTGGCTGCCTACTGTCAACAACCTGATTAGCAGATATTAGGGCCTCCCTGCCTCTCTCTCCAGAGCAAGCAAGATGATTTTGCATTCAGAGAAAATACCAAGATAAGATAACTGCTGCTCAGAAAGCTTGGAAGTAGCTCACAACATACTGGGAAGCTGAAGAGGGGAGTCTGCTTAAAAAATATTTATCTATCTTGTTTGCAGTTAGATTAGAAGTTTGAGAGAAAACACTGGCAGCATTTTATCTTCTTTGTTTGGCAAATAATCCTCAATACTGGAAATTTCAAGTGGAGAAGTCTGGCATAGAACTGACTGAAATTTCAGGAATTTCCTTCCTTGACATGTAAAACTAGATTAATTTTATGTGTTTTACTAGCTTCATATTAATAAGAGGTAAAAAAATGGAGATACCCAGAGAAAAGGCCTGAAGGAGAAAAATACAGAAACAGCAGCTTGAACTGAAGTGTAACAATTAAAGCCTCCAGCAAAAGAAAAAAAAGTGTGTAATTGGAAACCGAAAACCTCAATCTGAAAGCAAAGTTTTATTAACAACATATATGATGGAGCTGCACCTCAATGACTAAATCAGAAATGTTAGTTACTCTTCCACTTTATGTAGCATACAGATCATACCAGGAAGCCCTGACCTGCTTTAAGTTATTCCTATGAAATTTATCTAAACTATTTCTGGCCTCATAAACATTACATTCAAAGTTTGATACAGATAACAATTTATAACCCATATACATTTTTTTAAACAGCAACAGCAGCACCTCACCCATCAAATAAATGTGACATTTTATGAATTAAAGACAGTTAACAGATGTACTTCAACACCACTCTTTCCAGATAATCACAGCAATGTTTCCTGTATTCCACCAGGCATAAACCAAGTAGTTTCCTCCCCTATAACAATACAATTAATTTTTCATTAATTCTTACTAAACGAAGTTGTTCTGTAGTATTTCCTCTCTAAATTCTATCTCTGAATTTTTTAAAGACACAGATAAAAAGACAGCTGCAGTCCCCCTGCTTTTGGGCACCCAGAGACTATCCAACTTCCCAGTTGTAAGAAGAAAGGTAGCAGGATCCAAGTTACTCCTTAATAATGAAGTTTTTAATTCTTTAGCCTTAAATTATTTTTTTGAGGGCACAAAAAGGGCACTCCAGAGTCTTAACTAGATAGTTAGTGCTGGAATTTAACATTCATTTCCCTTCTAAAGCCCAGTGTTTTCAGCCACAGCAAAAGAAGACTCCTCTTTGCTCTCCATCCCTATCTATGCCCGTGCTGGCGAAGTATTTCCACTTGGAATGTAATTACAAACTCCCTGCCAAGGATATGAACTTTGCTGCTTGCAACATAACCCACCTCCTCCATAAGGAGAGCACACAGTAAATCAACCCTGGAGCTGCAGCCCAAGAGCTCCCAAACCACAGGCTTGTGCTGTATTTGCAGGCAAGTCCTTGCAGGAAGTGCTCTTCTGGCTATTTGCAGGTCTCCTAATGCTGCACCTCCTCAGTGTTTAGCTGTAAATACACAGCATTTTAAATTGTGCTGTCCCCCTTCTGCAGTTCAGATCTCCTGCTCCACCAAAGGGCACCCACAACCTCCTCTACTTGAGTTTCTTGCTCTTTTGCCTTAAATCTTCCCTGCTGGGATCTGGCCAACAGATTTGCTTCCCATGTTAAATGCCTGATCAATAATAAATGTCATCTCTTAGGATGAAGTCTCAATAAACTTTCTCTTTAATTATTTCCCTCTGTAAAAGGCCTTAATTCCTCCCCCCCCCTTTTTTTTTTAACAACACTGATTTTTTTTTTCTTTGGCAGAACAACATATCTTAATACTTTGGATGGTTATTCTCCTTCAAGTTTTCTTTGGGAAGTCCTACTTAGCCCCTGGAAGCAACTCCAAGTGTACTGGTATCCTGGGCTACAAAATCTCTTTGGTTTACTTCACATAAAAAGCTTTCTTCAGCTGACAGTGCAGCTCTTTTCTCCTCTTCCTCCTCATTTGGAATTTTTTCCCCCTTTACTTTGTTAGTGGCTGGACTTGAATCTCAATGCTGCCTGGTTATTTGTGGCTTGGCTTTTTCTTCTGTTGCCTGATGGCTTCAGTTTAAGTCTCTAGACTAACTGGCTCCTGGCATTTTTCTGAGATTTATATACTGTCTTTAGGGCATTAAAAAAAATATATATCCCTCCAATTTTTTTGTGTATTGTGTGTTAACTAATTTCTTCCTTATCACAGCAAGAATTTGGAGGAATACTGTCTTCTTTTTATTATTTAAAATGAACCCTACTCTCAACATGTTAAGCACAAATCAGGCAGTAGGCATGTTTTCACAGGATTCTCACAGCTGCTAATGGCAGAACACAAGTAATTATCTTTAATTGTTCCCAAGCATTTTGTATTTCCACATAAATTTTCTATACCTCAAAGCAGTCTTAACCCAGAGAGACTCAGGGTTTGTGAAACCAGAGGAGAAACCCAGCTCCATTTTGATCAATTAAACGGGACACAAAGAATTGCCTTCCAAAACCCGCTTTACAATAACAAAATCTACCAACTAATGACCAAAAAATCTGCCCAGGACAACTCCAACTCCCGTGATCTCCCGTTCCGTGGGCTGGTGCATCTTCTGAGCAGAAAATAACACACGTCCTCGAGCCTCCTCGTGCTGGGTCACACAGTTGTGGTTGTCTCCCAGTGCAAGTAACCAAGAATAGGCCAGTTAGAATGGATACAGCCTATCCTGGATTACTTGAACCAGGCCACAGCCTTCCATAAGGAAATCCATGGATTTTATGCTTTACAGAAAGGAAGTTTATTATTCAAACAGCGTTTTCCCCCCACACTATTAAAAAACATTTTGTATATTACACTCAAAGTACACAGGTCAAACGTTTCTTTAGCTTTCAACAACTAAAACAAGCAATTGTTAACTGAAATTAAAAAACTGAACACTAAAAACTAGTTTTACTCGACAAATTAAATTTAAGAATGAAATTCCAAGTAACACCAAATCAAACTCCTCCTGGCTGCCTCCTTTTACACTTTGACACTGACAGCAAGGCACAAAGGCACTGCAAGACATTTGGATAAAAGACAAAAGGACAACTATACCTTAAAAATCTTCCCTTACTGGGGATTAAAGCTACATTTAACGTGCAGTTTCTGATCTGGGGGCTTTGGTCACTCTGCACTTGTTCAGTGGGAAGCAGCTCCAAAGGCAGAAGTTACATCAAGGTTGAACATCTTTCCCCAGCCACTACTTCCACCCTCAATAAGCCTCCTCTCAGTTGCAGCACATTTCACTGAACTTCCCACAGTTTATCCCTTATAATTTGGTAGAGTGGGAGACCAGCTCTGGTTTCCTTTTCTCCAGAGAAGCAGGGTGAAATGAGAGAACTGGCCAGAGAGGGTCAGCTCACATTGGAACTGCCCTGCTGTGTCCGTACCATCATTCCCAACACGAAGTGTGGGATTCTTCTCCTGGAATTCCAGCTGCCCTCAGATGGGCACAGTCTCTGCAGGCATCTAAAGGCCCACAACAGAAAGAAAGGGAGGTGCTTCCACATGTGATTTATTTCCTTCTAAAATCAAATGACAAATCCTTCCCAAAGATAAGGTAATTCAGACCAGAGTAAGAAAGATGGGAGAGGGAAAAGGGGTGTTCAGAAAAGCTGTTTTTTAATCTGGGAAGCTCGTTTACCTGAGCACCCTTTAAGATGATGAATTATCCCTCCCTATATAAAAAAAAAAAGAGTTTCTCTGACCTTTGGATTATAAATTATGTAAGGAAAAACAAACTCCCCAAACTAAAGACAGTATTTTTTTTTGAATACCTCTGCTGAACAGCAAAAAATACAGCATTTACCATGAAAAAACTTGTCGGGTATGCAAATCTCAAAACTCCTTCAAGTGCCCAGCAACTGAATTTGCCACAACTCGTGTTGTTGGTGCACGAGACCCGACCAATCTCACATTATTTCAAATTTCTCCCTGAATGGGCACTTCTGAAATGGTCGTTTCCCTGTTTGTTTTCCTTGGGGTTTTGTCCCTAAGGCAGAGTTCAATGACTACAATAATCTGTCAGACCATCTCGTGCCTGATAAGGTACCAGGTTTACTGGTAAAGCAGGTAGGGATATGCACTGTGGACAGGATGGTTCCACAACATCTCACATGCCCCGTGGTGTTTTACACAGGTGGAAGTATTTCCCAAGGTCAATGATTAATCTTTGAGTGTATGAACTGCTTAAGAAAACGGACGAGCATTACCCAGATGACAAATTCTGAGAAATAACAAATATTGTTCATGTTTATGCTCTAAGTGATTGGAGAATTACAGGTTTGAGGCGGGAACAGGTTGTCAAAGCTCCACAGCCTGTGTTAATGCACAGACTCAGCCAGAATATATCCCTTTTTGCCCTTTAGTTTGTCACAGTGTAAAAAGAAAAAAAAGATTACTGAATGACAGAACATTACTTTGCCTACAGAGATGTTACAAACACAGACTTTGCTTATTCAGTGTGCCACGTAAATTACCTTTATTTCAAGAACCACAAATTCCTTACAATTAACTTCATTTTGACCACCCAAATGTGACTGAGGTATTTACCTATTTTAAAGATTAAGAACTGGATATTTTAAGAGATTAAAAACTGGAAATACAAAAGGGATTAAGCAATTTCCTTGAAAATTATGCAGGAAGTCTCCAGCAAAGCACAGTCAGAGACTCATTTCACTTGATCTTCTCTGTCAAGGAGAAGGAGATGCACAAATCCACTCCCTCTGGCCAGTTGTGGGGTTTTTGTTTGTTTGGGTTTTTTTTTTTTGTTGCTGTTTTCTCTTTGCCCCCACATGCAGTCACCTCAAGTGCCAAACTGCATCACGTTTGGTGAAGAATCTGAGAGTTTGCAGCAGGGAATGGAAAAGCAACTGGCTTTTGAAGTGCTTGACTGTAAAGCCCAGATAGTCTTTTACTGAGATTTGTTTCAAAATGTAAATATATCACCTTGACAAGCTAAGTGATGAGAATTCTAAGCCACTCAAAAATTCACTTTCAAAAGCATTCTACAAAGTTTTAGGAGAGAAAATGTCTGTTTTACAGCACCAAACACAACTAAAGCCCACATCAAATTAGGATTGACAGTATCACAAATCTCCCAAAACATCACTTAGTGTTTTAAGCATCAGCTCTGCTGAACGTTACAGGTGTAAGTAACCTAGATATTGAGTTTTTCTACATGAAACAGGCACAGTGTAAAAACTGTCAAAGCAACTATTACTTTAAAGCATGTTTCTGTCCACTGACTGATATTTAGTAATTATTTTAAGAGTGACAATTGCATGGGAAGTTTTCATAAGAGGAAATTAAATGGAACTATGAACTTTACGATCTATCAATTAGTCCAAGATTAAAATAAAAAACTCTCTGTCCAAGTAAAAATAATACATATAAAAAACCCCAACATTTCAACAATTAAAGTTCTTAAAAATCTCCATTAAATCACATCCAGGGAAGATTTGCAACTCAATGACTGCATTATCTGTAACCTACAACACCCGGCAGAGAAGATGCTTCAAACAATTTGCAAGGTTCATGTATCAGAAAGGCTCAACTTCAAATTAACCTGCTTAACTCATCTCCAGCAAGAACTTCAATGTCTGTCTGAAGAGGAAAATTTATGGCACTGTAATTTCTCTCATTCGGGGGTTTCAGAAAAGACTCCTGATTAAAGACCAAGCTAAAATACATGAAGGGGATTGATTTTCAAATTATGGGTGTTTTGCATTTACTGAAAACCATTTCTCAGAGCCATAAGTGAAGTTCTTAAAGAGTAAGACATAAAAATTAGTCTCCTCGCAATTTTGTCCAGACCTTTTAAAATATGCTGAAGTATATAAAAAAACCCTCCTATCAGAGGAACTTTGATTACTTACAGGAATAAAAGGGGACAGGAATTAAACACAGACTGCCACAAAAACCTGAGGAATGTCTGTTCTTCCTTACTACCTTTGTAAAGTTTGGTCCATATGAGCTACCAAAAGACATTAAAGCCAACTTATGTCCTGTTTGCCTTGGAAGGAATGAGAAATGCAGTATTCAAGTAGCTTTTTCTGAGTTCTAGTCATGTTTGAAATCCCATTCTTAGATCATCTGTTGTTTGAAAATGTTTTAAAATTGACAAAGAATCAAGTACTGAAGTCCTGAGACAGAGCTTCTACCTGATCAAACAGGGATGCCTTTCTGGATGGTACATTCCAGAATACACAGTTTTCGTGTTTTGCAAAAGTTACTCAATGCAAAGCAGCAAATGCAGGAAGAGAACACTCTGGGACACTCAGGACACGATGCTGAAGGAACAACAGCACTTACCTGATGTATGGTTCCATCGATTTCGACAGGAACGATGAAATCAGCATTGCTAATTGGCTGGAAAGAATGACAAGGAAACGACCAACATTAAAAACGTGATCATTAAGAGGGAGAATTTCAGAGCTGTAAAAGGGAGGAGCACCTACTTCTCAGGAACAAGTTAATAAGCATTACTGACTGTACAAATTCACTCTGTGTGTGCTCTTCACACACACAAGTCAGAAGCCTCACAGTTGTATTCCTGGATGCTGCAATTCCCTCTTCTCTCATATTTTGGAGCTTCATGCAACATAATACACTTCACTGCCTGAATAACCCCCTCTACCACTGAGTCTGTTTACCAGGAAAACATCTATTTGGCTAAACTCTTCCACCAAGTCTGTGTGGATACTTGATAATCAAGAAAATCAGCTATGTGCTTCACATATTCTATTCTGGGTCATCAAGTAGTAATTAATTAAAAGTAAAGACAGTGGTAACAGTAATACCTAATGGTTATATCTGAATATAACAAGACTCAAGTTGTATAGCTAATTGATTCTCAAGATGCCACACTTCAAGAACCAATAGCAATCAATTTAATCATGTAAAATTGCATTTTAAATCCAAAGGGAAGAGCAGACACACTCTGCCCAAGTCCTTGAATCCACTTTTCTAGCCTGTCGATCACAACTTATTTCTTAAGACTTACTGAGAAAAACTGCTGGTCAAGTAAAACTGCTTTGGAAAGCAGGAAAGTGGCCTTGTAGGCAGTTTAAGAGTACATAATCTAATCTTGGCTAGACAGCAGTGGTAGTTGGGAACACGCTGCTAACAGTGTTTACTAGTTCAAATGGACACCCAGCTTGGCAGAAGCCTTGGGTACAGCTCATGCTTTATGTCCATGATAAAAAAGTAGCCATGTAAACATGCCTGGCTGAAGCTTGTAACTCATTCCATCATCTGCAGCTTGGAAATGGCTGAGACAGAGCTGCCAAATACAATTTTAACATGACTGATTAACAGACAATATGCTCCATGGATAAGAGCCTAGAACGAGGGCTGGGAGCAGTCTGGTAACTGGTGTTACTAAGCTAAGGCTGGAAAACGTCTTCACTCAGCTCTACTACACTTGTACAGACCTTCCCACCTGGTTTTCTGGATCAGACTGATCTCAGGAACCACCAAGAAGACGCCCCTGAAGAATCTGTGAGACTAGAAACAGACTTCAGACCCACTCAGGGGGGCAAGGGGGTGCCAAGAAAGCAGAGAAGTAGCCAAGGTAAAGAGCAGATCACAAAGTGGTGAGCCTCAACAGGTGCTCTGTGAAAAATGGTGGGAAAAGAGAATCTGCAGGATGAACCTGACAGCATCACTTTGATCCCATTCCCTGGAGAAACAAGATTCTCACTGCACTATGAACAAACCTTCCTACGAGGAGAGCAAAACGACCGCAGGAATTTCTATGGAGGGCAACACCCTCTCTCAGGAGCAAAGTAAAGAGGAAGATGGTTTGATCTGACACCTGGAAGTGCTGGGTCAGAGGGCAAAGGAGAGGCTGCATGGAATCTACTTGTCCTGACCAACCAGTACTGGCAACCAGACTCTGGAGCAGATGATGCTGGAAAACTCTACCCTGCCGATGACCCCTGTGTGAGTATAACCTGAAGATTTCCTCAAATACACACAGTTCAATCCAATTTTATTTTTTTTTTAGCTGACACTGAGCAATTTCCCCTTTCTGCTTCAGGAAAAGACAGAGGGGAGGCTTCCATCTGTTCCCTAAATGGAGCCCCTCAGATAGAGAAGGTACTCTGCAGCCTGTCCAACAGCCACAGAAAAAGTACACAAAAATGTTCTGAAGCTTCACCTTAAAAAGAAACCCAAATAAACTGTCAATAAGCCTCAGCCACCAGTTTTCCAGTGGGTGCCAGCTCCCTGCAGACTTTGAAGAGGCTTGCACACACTTGAAGAATTTATATATGCATGACTCCCTTAAGCAAGAGAAATACTCTGCAGCAGCAGAAAAAGAGGAGGTCACTGCAAGCTACTGAGGTTTTGAAATCCACTGATAAAACTACAGCTTTTACAAAATTTAATCCTAACAGTAGCTACACCAACCAGATGTCAGAGAAAAAAGCACATTCTGTTTAAACAATTTCCATTTTTTTCCTAACAAATAAAAGCTCGCCCTTAGACTTTGCAACACTGACCAAACTACTCTTAACTACATATTTGCTTCCTCCACTTAAATTTCAGGTACTGTGTTGTTTTCTTGTTGGCACAAGTGATAAGGAAAGGGAGCATGGACTGGGGTTCTGTGCTTTGTCGTGGTGGGGAGAGAGGAGGAAAGTCTCCAACAATTTGCTGGATGAAGGTTTCTGGGGTTGTGCACACGAAGCACGTACGTGCCTCCAGCGGGAACCACAGAGGCAGCCTGGAAGGAGACAATGTATTTCCACTGAAAATCTTCAGTTAGAACTGCTTCTCTTTTAATAAAAAGTCAGCATTTTAAATGTTCTGAGAGTGTTTCACAGCCAGTTTTGAATACGACTGCATTCCAGACTTGCATGTGGTTTAATACATTTTACACAAAACCGTGTTTACATCTCCTTGATTTAAAAATTTATTACTTTTGCTTCTATTATTGTTTCTATGATGGGAATGATAACTATCATGTCTATCTATTCCTTTTTTACTCTTGCCAAGGAACCCCAAACTTTATTCCTTTAATATGCACCTAACATGAAAGACTAGTACCTCCTTAAAGCTTCACAAATATGCAGGGGCATAAAATAGATGAGAATTACCCTCCTTCAGATGTTGCTGCTTTCATAAAAGAGCACTTTAAATATTCTGCCTCTCTGGTTGTGTTAAAAAAACATGTAATCTGCATTTGAAATATGAAGCCCATTTCATAACAGAATTACGAATTCTGAAGTATCAGGTGTTTTAAATAAACCCTTTTTTGTACTAAAAAATCACAAATTTATGTATGCTTTTCCAGCTTTTAAGTGGAGACCTGCTTGGTTAGAGCAGATGTGTTTTAATGAAAAAAAACCCACCAAAAATACCCCCAAAACCCCACAAACTAAAAGAAATTGCAGAAGTAACTTGATTATCCAGGCAGAGCAGGGTGCACAGAGGGGTTCAAACCCCTGCTCTGCTGGAACATATTATTTTTGATGATAATTAATGGTCTTGATTCAGTTGAAGCATTTCCCTTTCTGAAACAAAACCCAAACAGCACCACTGGACAGTGCCAGCCACTGAACAATTAAAGCCACTTCCTCCAACACTTGGTTTTCTCTTACACACCCCCCTCACAGGGTTTTATATTAAGATAACACCTTTGTAACCATAAGACTACTACTGCAGAAACTCCAACATCTGCCTAACACTACTGACCTCACACAAAACCGGAACAGTTTTCTTTTCCTAAGACAGAAAATTATTCAGTGCTCATCATTAAGTAGAATAATAGTTTAATTTTTTAAATATCTATTTAATATCATTTAAATGCCCATTAAATATAATTTGAATGTTACCCACAGCATTCAGAAAGCAAACCTGTATTTCTACCTTTCAGATAACACTAAGCCTAAAACTTCATTATTATTATTATATAAATTTAGATTTTTAAATTCAGCTTTCCCTCCCTACTTTTGGTTTTTGGTAAAATGGGATGGCATGGTTCCTCCCTTCCCACTCCAGCTGTGTTTCTCATCTCCCTGAAAAACTCCCCAGTGCAAACTCAGTCTGGGTATAGAAGACAAATCTGGCACTGAGGTTGAGGGGTTCCTGTGCACCACCATAAACTTTTATATACCATCAGGCACCATAAAGACAGAGAAAAATCTTAATTTCAGTTTGAGGCAGAGGAGCATTTGTTCTAATATCTCCATATAAGGTTTTCTTTAAGCCAACAAAGACAGCCTGTTGCCAAATTCTAACCACAGCATGAATTACAGTTTGCATTTTAAATGCTGGCAACTAACTAGTGAAGGATTAAAAAGTGGTGTTTAAAGCCAGCAGTGAAAAATGGAGTGCAACAACTAGAAGAATATAAAGGTAGTAATTTTAGTTTGCCAGTAGTAAGGTAACTATTAATTCTCATAAATTCTCCAATCAATGTATAAAACCAGCAGATGCTTTATCATGTATTAGATTTGCTAATCAGAAATGCTGTCAGTACTCTGAGCCAACGGATTATTTCTGAAGCCTCCCAATTTCAGTACTACTTAAACAATCGAAAAATACCTCTACTTCCACCCCATGCTGAAATCTGAGGGGTTATAAAAGTTGCTTCTCAAAGGTGACTGACTCAATAGCAACAACTAAAAGGTATTTGCTTTCTTGCTCTGAAAACTAAATATCAAACCCATATTTCCATAGCAACACATTTTTTATCTGTTAAAATACAGGTTCTTGCTGAAATACTTAAAGCCATGAAGACAATACCTATTCCAGGCCTTGTTGCAGCCAATGTGACTGTCTCAGAGTCGAAACATAAAAAAAAATATGTGCGTCCCTCCCCTTACAGCTAAATTAGGATGAATAACCACAGAAGCAGCAATGAGAACTCCCAGGCATCCTGGGAGAGCCTGTAAGACGAGTTCAAGTGTTAAGAGGCTTAACAGTTCCTGCAGCATTCACTGACAGATTAAAGCTGCAAGAGATCACTTTTGAATTTACTTACCTTAAATGAACTGTGCACTAAAGTTTCATCTAAATCAATGACCACACACTTCTTCCCATAGTCTGATGCTGTCAGTTCTGGCAGGAGGTATTTAGCTGGTGGCTAAAAACACAAAGACAAGAGGAAGACAACAAAGAAAAGTAAAACCTCTATCCAAGGGGCACTCTTCTGTCAACATTACTATTCTAGCAATTACTGGGAGCTGGAATACATGACTTGAAATTCAATGCTTTTCTGGGATCATCTCAAGTACACATATGGAAATTAATGGCTCATGCAATTGCAATACCCATACAGACTTTTTTAATATTATTTTTTAAATGAGAGGCTTGTTTGGAATGACCTCCAAAGCACTGAAAATGAAAGTGGTAAAACATCATCACTAGCTAAGAAAACCCAGGGAGAAATAAGACATTTGATACAAAAACATCTTTTTGTAGTGACCCCTTCTCCTAATGCCTGGTTTTGGTTGCTGTTGTTATCCTATTCCCAACAATGCCATTTCCAGCCATATCAGGCTGAGGGACATTTACACAAATCGTTATTTCTGTTTGCCAGGAAAGGTGCTGAAGTGGAGGAATCCATCCTGAAGGAAGACAGCATTATTAATTTTTATCTTCTGGGACATGTCTTCACTTTCATTTGCACCACTTGTGAGGGCAATGACCAAATTTCATGTGGATTATGCTCCCAGTCAAGGCATTAAAACTGCAGTAAAGAACCTAAACTAGGCTCTTGTACAGCATGCTGCCCTTTCTGAAAAATGGTACCAATTCCTTGAATTGACAATTTTTCTGAAAGCAATGCAGACAATCTCATATTCTTTGGATTGCTCATTTCCCACTTTAACACCCCAGTTAGCAATAAAATTATGGTAACTTTAGATTTTAGTACTGGATACTTCCTGAAATAACAGAAGTGGGAGAGAAAGCTTCCATTTGGAGCTGAAACACTGCTGCCTCTCAAAGAGGGTTTTTTTTTGATGAAGGAAAAGGATTAGCTTTATGGAAAAGTGTCAACAGGGAGAAGCTCAAGACTGAGAGGAAATTAAATTAATTTAAAATTGGGTACAGAACTCTAACTTCATTCTTTTGCTACCTTTTTATCTGTTCATGCAGTGTAAGGATGCATCTATCGTGGTTTTGTTCCTTTCAACAGCCCTTTAGAGAGGTGAGGGCAGGGATCTGAGGCCACCCCTGTGCAGGTGACACACAGGTTGAGTCAGACACCTCCACACACCCTCTGGCTGCCAGGACAGATCATCAACCACTGACTAAATTCAGACCTTAAGCTGACAGATACTGGCCAGTGATGCCTAATAAGTTCTTGTTTAGAGGAAGCACCTAACAAATGAGATTCTGGACTTAAATAAAGTGTCTTTAGCTAAAACAGAAGTTCTTGGGGCATTTTTAGGAGTGCTCGCTGCACTTGATTTAGTTCCTTACAATTAATGACGACAACAGTTCCTTCAGCTACCAAACTGGAAGCTGTCTTGTGTACAAAGCCACTTGTCTCAACACATTTTCTCTCAGCACAAATCTAACAACAACCTTCAAGAAAAAACAGCTTCTGCCTAATGCCTGTAATGGACCCAATCCATCACAGTCACCCAGCCAGGCTCAAATTTATAGGACACCCTTTCTAGGTTATATAGACAGTCCCACAACTGCTTCAGCTCTAGCTCTGCTTGTTGGCAACTAGGGTCAGACCTAAAGAATTTTACTTTCTCACTTCTTGATTTCAAAGCCTAAAAGGTATTTAGCACCCCACCTCAATTTTTCACAGCAAGGAGGATCCAAATTTGCAACCTGAACAGACCAAAAATTTACTGAAAGAAAAATCCAACCCATTTAAAGACAATAATCTTCAGAACCTGTGTTCTGACACTGATTTCTTGTCTTTGAAGATGCAAAAAAAGGAGGAACATCCCAAGAAACCTAAAGCATATTTTTTTCTTTTTAAATAATAGTTCAGTTCATTTTTGTACTCTTAGAACTGTATCTAGTTCAAATTTTTGACTACGTTAATCTGCACCAGCAGTTCAAAGCCAGAAATTCCTTCTGCTATATGAATTCTTTATCAAACTGAAAATACCTATAGTTATGAAAAATATATGGGAATAGATATTCTTCCATACAAAATTATGCTATGAAAAATAGGAGCCCTGTCTTATCAAAGATATCTTTAGTTTTTTATCTGGAAGCTGTTATGCCTGTCATCAAGAAAAGGATGGACATTATCAGGGACTGACTACAAAACGTGAGAACCTTCAACTCTTGATAACCTGAATTCCTTGACTGCATCTGAGACAATCCACGCCCATCTTCTTCAATCACCTGCACCCTCTGCTTTCTCAAAAGCAGTGATAAGAGTTTCTCTCCCTTTTCAGTATTGCTTTAAGAAATAATGTGCAGTTATTGACCTAACTTTACCTAACAAGACCAACCCTCAAGGTTTTTCCTGGGGAAACACCAACCCTCCTACAAGCTTTGGCATCTTGGGTTCGATCTGATCCAGCTTCCCTAAGTTCACAGCTTTGAAGTTCAAAAGAAATGTGTTTCCATTTCACAACCTGTGTCTCCAGTTGCCCTCAATTGTGAAAACACATTTGCACCCCTGATAATCTAACAGGGATAAGGAAACTATTCTGGAGTTGAAGTCACTACAAGTTGTGAGGTTGTTAAATAGCTGGTGTAGGACTCTGGAGCATGGATGACATTTTTGAGGCTTTAGGAACTTAAAGGATTTGTTTGTAAAGTATCAGTCCATTTGTTTTGCTGTTCAAGCTTTCTGATCTAAAGCAATTTCCACATGCCAAGAGTAGCAAAGCTTTGAGGCAGAAACAAGCATTACTCAACACTGTATTTTAATTTCTTCATTAACAGAGACATATCCAAGAAGAGTTCTAATTACCAGATTTCCACCATAGTTAATAGTTATGGATCTTTTACAATTTCCTTTTTTTTTTTCCCCCACATAGTAGCTTTAAAGACATCTAAGATGATTAAGAATATTTAATAGTGGCTAACAGCAACTCATATTTACTATGCAATACTCTCTGAAAGGCTGCAGACTTCCACAGAACTCAGCAGAAAAATAACACGTGGTCTCTCAGTACTGTTAAGTCCTAGCTTGGTCTTCAATTCCAACAAGACATAAATTGTATACAAGTTAAACTAGTCACTGTTTGGGATTTATGCATTCCAGCCAGGTCTCATGGCTGATCAGCTCAACAGACCTTGTAGTGAAACGACTGCTGCACTGCTTCAGTCCCGTGGAAATAGTATATTCCCTAAGAAAAAAAAAAAAAAAAAGGGGGTGGTGGTGGCAAGAGAACAGGACTTTTGGTTGAAGCATAAACAGCTGGTCAACACAAATCTTTCAGAAATTTACTGTATAAAACAATCATCAGCTTTCTTCCCTGTAGGCCCATATTTCCCACAGAGACAAGTATCAGAATTAATAAGCCCTTTTTTGTTTCCTACACTGGCAATGTTGTCGAGCCTAAGTGCAGCACACTAATTCACTGTTCGTGTTCCCTTCAACTCACACTCTGGGTTGCCCTCCACAGAGCTAACAGCTTCTCCCAGCAATTACACAGAGAAATACTCTTACAGGAGATAAATGATTTCTACTTAGAACACAGCTGCCAGGAGATGCCAGCTCCTGTTATGGAACAGGCAGTTCCCAAAATTTCTTCTGTAAGTTATAACAAGGAGTTGTCTAAATGTACGTGAGGACAAGTGAAAATCCCAGTGATAAGATTTAACTTCCGCAGGGATTCTGAGGGATAATTCTGGTACCACTCCTTACCAGTGGTATTTTATACTGAACAACTATTCAGGATGTTGCACGAGTGTGGCTTTGTATTTCCATCTACCTCTGTGTTCAAAAGAATTAAAAACAACGAAGCTGCTATGGGTCTACTTTGATTTAGGGGTTGGAACTAGATCACCTTTAAAGTCCCTTCCAACCCAAACCATTGGATGATTATATGAGATACAAACAGGATGAAGTTCATATTTTAAAAACCCCCAAAGTAATGCTGGTTCTATTTTCTGAAGAACCTAATCTAAAGCTGGAATGTTTCTTCCTCAGCAATTACCTCAATCAATAACCAAGCAAAAAATCCATATTAACTCAATTAACTTTAAATTTATTGCAATTAATACAGGACAAATCTGCTTAGCAGAAGATCTCTTTCACTGCACTGCACATATAAATGCATCGAAAAGCAACACAAAACGCACATAAAGCAATGGAAGCTTTCAAACAGGTGATCTCAGCAGACAGCCAGGTTTTATACAGGCATTATAATGCTCCAAAAATCCTCCCATTTTGACTGGAGGTTTCCACTTGAAAGTTTATTGAGTGGGGGAGTGGACAGAGCACTTTTCAGAGTCACTGAGGGGTTTCTCTAAGCACTTGAAGTGATGACATTTGCAAGGAGCCTCGTAAAAAGTAAATGTCCACTTAATTGTGACCAAGCTCACTCTGTGTTTAGAAGATTTTCCTCCTGGTTTGTATGAGCCATACAGTTCAAACAGCCCAGTTCTCACCTCTATGTAGCAGAGCATCAAGAACTTCTGCCTTAATGGCAGTTCAGATTTGTCTCAGAGGGACCCTCATGACAAACAGCCCTTGGAAGACCGGCAGAGAAACACTAATTTTAGGTGGTTTTTTTCCTAATATAACGCTGCATTTCCTTTTCTACCACTTTCTCCACATGCAGCTCACTTGTGCCTTTATTTAGATGATGACATACTAATGCTAGCTGGGCCCTGTCTGACAGCCAGGAGCACTGTGATACTGGGGAGTAAATGTCACACAACTGCCCGCGGGCGATGGTTGCTTGACAACACTCCCAATGTCCTGCTGGAAGGAGCATCAGATGGCACCAGGGAAGGGGAATTAGTGTGTTTTAAAGTCACCTGCTCGCTGAGAACTCTAAGTCATGGCTGCAGAGATAAGTTAATTTTACTGCCTTATTAAAGTGCTGGGAATATAGGTCAGTAAAATTACAGTTGAGCTTAAAAAAAGAAAAAAAAAAGGAGGAAAAAAAAGAAATCCCTTCTTGAATCATTCATTTCCCTACCAGTACCCAAATCTAACAGAGCACTGCTTTAACACTGCAAAGACAATGTCCTAACAAAGCATCTCATTTCACTGCTGTACCTGTCAGAGGAGCTGTACTCATTTATAATTTCAAAATTCTGTTCTCTTTGAATTCTTTTTCTGTTAATACCTACGCTCACTCTTAGCAAAGATTTTATTCCAGGTCAGAGCACAGCCAGAACATGTTTCGTGTTCAAATAACTACCAGCAGAGCAACAACAGCCACCTAACTGAATTTGGCAGGTATGTAAAAAGAAAAGTAATTCAGGAATCTGTATTTTCATCCATCCAAACTTTTCTATTTCTAGACTTGCATACAGATAAATTCCATGCCTGTACATGTGTGTGTATTCAGACACACAAATCTATGCCTGAGCCATATTACAAATATCAGGTAAGCAACAAAAAGTAATTCCCAACAGTTCCTAAATCCAAGAAAAACTGGTGAGAGAGGGAAGATGTGCACAGTCACAGTGAGCTCCTGACACTTCTGCTCTGCAGCACGGACAGGGTTCTTACAGGGGGGTTTGTAATGTTGGGCTACGTGAGAAGGAAGGGAAAGAAGAAAAAAAATGGTATCTTGGGGAGTATCCAGGTCTTTAAAGGCTACCAAATATCTCAAACAAGAGGGCTGGGTCAGTAACTCCGCACATCAGCACTGTTATTTTCTGGAAAACTCTGCATAATAAAGTATTATAAGCAGCAAAGGAGCTAAAAACAAAAAAGTTATTTTCAGATTTACAAAGCCTAAGCCTTCATCCTCATTAAAAAAAAAAGGCAAAAAAGAGCAGCTTTTTGACCAAAAAAGGTTAAAACTAATTAAATTAAAAGCTTCAGTTCGAACAACTTCTTTTTTTCCCTTCCTTTTATTTAGCCTTGAGAAATAATTCAGATGCCAAACAGCATTCCAAGTTTAATCCAGGCAAGATAAACAGAAATACTAAGGCCCATAAAACAGCGGCTGATAGCAAGAGCATCATCTCAAACAAGGGCAGTAATGCAGCTTTAGTCAGTTTTCCTGAAGTGACTTGTTTCAAATAAGTTTCACAGTTTCTAACTCTTCCTTTCAACTGGAATACTGGGAAAAATGAGAGGAAAAGGTTTTTGTAACTGTGTCTCACATAGTGGTGATGAGTCACCTTTTGCCTCTATTAAAATAAGTAACTTCAACTTTTAGAGCACTTCAAGCATTTCCAAAATGGTAAAAATTCAGATGAAATCCACATAAAACCCAAACTCTTCTTTTAGTCCCTGTGGAACACGTGCAGTTCAATTCATCTCTGAGTATACAACATCACAGACAGAACATAAAATCCTTTTGTTAACATGCAACACAAAACAGACCTGTTAGACTGCAACATAAGATGAAACAAAGCAAAAGTTATGAAAATTATTAAAAGAAAAAGGGATAAAAATACATACACTTGGTATAGGCATGACCTGCATCTGGTCACCCTGGGGAAAAAGAAAAAAAAAAAATCACTGTAAGGGTAATGGCTTTTAAAGGGTAGAACAAAGGTCTGGAGCAGTAAATGTAGCACTCAAACATTTTAAACCAAAAGTTCAAAGTATTCAAGAAACCAGGGTAAAAAAAATAAAAACAAGGTCTTGCATTTTAGTTGCTGGAATGATCTGTTAGTACACTGGTATTTATGATTTTTAGGAGACTGGACTGGTAAAACCCATGCTATGATTAATAAGAGATGGCAATTAGAAAGTACCTGTATTTACTGTAACTTTTTCAGCTTTAAGATCTACTAATGGGTATATTTGTCAGTTTTCACTGCAGCAGCAAGAGGCTGAGCCAGACCTTGGTAGCAGGGCAGAAACCCACTCCTTGAACTGAACTCCACTTGAGACAACTGACTCAGAAAAAACAGCATTTTTGCCCAGGCAATATAAAAACTAACCCAATAAACCTCACTGTCTTCACCCAGAAAGAGGCAACAGTATCAGAGCTCTTCCCATGGTCTCACTTTTTGTTATGTACTTGGGAGAAGGCAAGAAAATCTTGGTCAGATTGACTTCTTCTTCCCTTCCTGGGTCCTGATATACAGAGACAAGGACAGCCCCAAAATGGAGAAAGGCTGGTCACAGGGTCACTGACCCATAAATGTAAGGGATTGTGGAAAATGGGGACAAGTATTTGCTTTTTGGCACCACAGCACAAAAAAAAAAAAAAAAAGGAAGCTGATCCTCCTAGTGTAGATATTACTTAGGTAGGTGATTTAATTCTTGAATACTTGGACAAAAACAGAGGCTCTGACTTCCAGCAGAGCAATTACTGAAAGAGCTGTTTTCAACATTAGCACGGTCTCTTCCAGCTGAAGAAGTCTTGTGCTTACTTGTTTTGATGTCTTACTACAGTGTTGACACATCTCTGACAAACAGAAGTAATTCAATATTAGAGTCCTCTTTTTTTAGTGCTAAAACATCAGAAATTTTTACTGAAGTTCGACCAAAATCCTGAGAACCTGAAGAAGCAACTAGAGAGCAGCAACTACCATGAACTATCAAAACCTTTGCACTAGTAAAAAGTACCAAGGGTTTCCAGAAAAACACACACACATAAACTGGCAAGAATCCAAGTTTCCCTCAGGGCAACAGCAATAAGAAAAAGATTATAATTCAGTACGTTGATGTTCTGTTAGCAGAACTGACTTCCATGGGAATCCAGAACTGAAGCTGCTACAGGACCTGCATTACTGTTTGCTTTATTTTTCTCACAGAATTTCTTAAGTAAATAATAATAATAATAATTAAAAAAAAGCAAGTAAATTTCCTAAGAGGAACTCTAAAAGAACCTCTGCAAACATCAAAAAGGTAAAGATGAGAACAGCAAAAAACAAGCAGAAAGGTAATTGCACGAGTCTGCTGGGAAATTGTGAGTGCTCACCAACAGGCAAATGTTTTTTAAAAACAAGCCTGCTATGGGAAACTTCTTTAAAGTGTCCTGCATCATTTCCTAATGCTTTGGAACAGGAAGGGGAATAGGTCATACCGGTATCGTTTGAAATACATGACAGATGACTGCATTTGTTGAAGGCTTTCCACAAGCTCCTCATGTTGGGAACAGGACAAAGCTGTTCCTAGAATGCCAAAATTTCCCTATTGTATCGCTAAAATAACCCAGGAACTGATTTGTCCAACCATTGAAATCAGGGTTGGTTTTTTTTTCACAGCACACTATATACAGATGAAATGATAAATCCTATCTTTTCCCTTAGCTGTGTAATTTTGGTTTAGAGACACAACATTTCCAGTATCATGTCGTTCATTAATGCTGTCTGTGGTCTTGTGTGGGATCAATGAGCACCAAGTGACAGGCCACATTATTTTGCCTTTTTTTTTTTGAGAACGGTCTGTATTCAAAGATAAGGAGCTGTTTCATTTTAGAGAAAAATCTGTTATTTTGATCAGCTTCATCATATCCATTTCTTTAACACAAAACGTATTCTAGACCATGACAGGTTCTTTAAAAACAGTAATATAGTTGCTGTTGGACTCTTTCATTGACTTTCAATATCAAGCTTTGTCTCTTAATCTAAAGGACTTTTTGGGAGGCAAAGAAGGTCAGAATGAGTGACTAGTGAGAGAGGAACCAAGCACAGCTATGCAGAGGGGGTTTTGTTTTCTAAACAGATCTTCCATACCCTACGTTAATGTTGGCCAACAGAACCAAACATTAGGAACTTTCTTGCTCAGATCAGCAAAGGTTAAGCAGGAGAAAAAGTACTAGGATTTGCATTAATCTCAGTTATCTTCTTCCACACTGGAGAGTGAGAGTGGCTTCCACATCCGTTCAGAAAGCGCGTCATTGATGGTCTCCTCCTCAAAGAGAGCTCGTGCTGCTCCTCAAGGTCTCCTCAGTGAAGGAGATACTACTTTGCCCTCAAGAACGTACTCCCTACAAGCTGTTTTTCTCATCTTGCTGGACCATATTCATGTGGGATAGAGAAGATCCTTCTTCCTGCACTGTGTTAAAAACAGATTCCTGAAGCAGAGAACAGTGCTGGAGACATGACCATAGGTCATCAGAACAGCTTTCCAGCATCACCTTGGAAGATGATGGTGCAGCAAAAAGCAGTGGGGAGAAGGAGCCCTGACTTTTGTAGTCATTAGGATGGGTGAGGTGGGAATGCAGTTACTGGGAAAGCAGCAGGGGCAGCTGCTGCCCCCAGAATAAACCTCCTCCTAATTCTGTCTTCTTCCCTGTTGAGTGTGGATCAAGACCTTCTCCTCTACTCCAACAAGTATAAAAAAACCTTCCCTCATTCATGCTTCATCTCGTTAACACGAGCCATCTGCCTGATTTGGATCTCACTGTGAAACAAAAGCAAGGATGACTCCAGTGGAAGTGGGTTGTGAGTGAAATGGCAAAGTGCCGATAGACTTGCCAGAGCTGCCTCACCCACCAGGGCTGAGAGCAGAGGGAACAAAAAGCTATTTTGCATCTAGCTGTTTTCACCTCTCTCTATCTGGATCCCACTCCTTGAAGCCTGAGTGAATGAAATCTGTTATCTGCAAACACCTCAAAACTCAGATAACAGACTTAACCCAGAAGGAAAAAAACTTACATCCAGAAGCACGCCCAGAAAACGCACAAATTGAGTCAAGTTGCCAACAGAAGAATGGGAATTAAGACTTGAATTTATTCAGAAGAAAACAAAAAACAATCCCCCTCTTCTAACACTCTGGCCTCTAAACAAAAAAATGTGGCTGGAAGGTGTTGGGGAGCTGCCTGCTGCTGAGGAGGCAGGAAAAAATTACCAAGGGTTTCATGAGGCTGAACATTGTGTGCTCCCAGTGACACATCTGGCTCAGCATCCAAGCTGCAGGCAGGCTGATATACCCACTGTCACAGACATTACATCTCCACAATACATCTTCGTGCTGTGCTAAATAGCTGCTGCATTTTAAGAAAAACAAATATACCACAGTTTCAGTAAATACAAGTTATTGTTGAAAAAAATGTTGTATTGAAACTTTAGAGACAGAATGGACCATTCATTACCAGTATTAGAGTCACACTTGGACAAGCAGCTGCTCTGTGAGGAGAAGGTTTAAAAGTGAACTCAATACTTTAAAGAAGTTTTTGGGCTTTTTTTTCCCCCTAGCAGAACAGAAGTCAGTGCTGAAAAAAATTGTTTATTCAAAACCATGCTTAATTTGGGGTTTCTTCCAATCCTATGAAGAAGTGACATGACACTCGACATGTCAAGCATCATCAAGTCACATCATGAAGTACTGATTAATCTGAAGCACTGATTTCATTTTTTCTAGTACAGCCAAATAATAATAATAATAATAATAAAAATTAAATCACACAATGCAATTACTCTGAACAAAATTTCACAACTGTGTTTTCAATTACTTTATAGAATACTCTCCCCTGCTTTCCTTCCTTTTGAACACGTCAGCATTTAAAGAATCAAGATTCCTGATTAGAAGGGAGTCAGCTTGTCACATCAACTTCAGGTTTAAGAATATGCCAGAAGCAACACAGAACAAACACTGAATTCCTCTGAAACAAGCAGTTTTCCCCACTCCTTCCCTTCCTCTGAAGTCTTTATCACCAGTTTTCATGTAACAACTCCAATGAACAGTAAAGACAGAAGGAAAGTACATCCAAGTCATTTTATATGAGTTTCTAGTGGTAACTGTTTATTGAGCAATGTTCTTTGTCCATTTTTGAAGGAAAGGGTCACAACACATGAGCTGACTGGGCCATGGTCAGAGGTGAACTGTGACGTGGTAATTAATTTATAAAACATAGAAGTCAGATAGCAGATATAAGTAAGTGATCATTTGAGCAGCAGTTCAACAGAATTCTAACCTGGCAATAAGAATGATGTAAAAAAGAGTTTTAATTTAACAGCAGAGGGGTTTAAGCAATGTGTTGTCAACCTTCATTTTTTTTCCTGAAACAAGTAATTTGGTCATTCCTGGACACTTAATTTCACCAATTTAGAATCCAAAGCCCACTGTTGCATGTACTTTCCCCCATTACTTATAATTTCTGAATCTAGACAAGATGCTCAGTGTAACTCCATCGAATTCAAGCAGCCTGCACAGTTCTAAAACAGCTCTCCTGGCAAAAAGCACCACCCTGACAGGGTAACAATATTCAAACATACCCAAGTCTTCAATGCTCTTTTTCTTTCTTTAAAGAATTTCTTATTTACACTGTGTTAGTACTCAATAAAAACAGCACATAAAAACATATACAAAGCTTATTAGTCTTTAATACTGCATTTAAAATAGCCATGTCACAGACTTATTTTACACTGAAGAACCACCTAAAAGTTCAGCTGTACTTGATTTCTTCTACAAAGGTTTCAGTATTTCTTCAACAAAAGTTTGAACTCTCTTCAACATGTTCCTTCAATTTTTTAACTCTTTTAAGTTTTAACTTGGCACTTCTATGAATGTTTCTCTTCCACATACTCCTTGAAGTTTTTCACTCCAGTTTTAATCTGTTAATTCTACGAATGCTGTGATTTGTGTCTTGGTCTTGTGTACAAGTGTTGCACAGCTCCAAAACTGCTCACTGAGGCAGCAGAGTGGAGATGGAAACTTCTGTGAACACATGAGCCAATCACTCACTCAAGGCCTAAGATTTATTTAGAAAATAATTAAGTGTTTTAGAAAATACAATCTGGAAACTACCGACTCCAGACCATTTTTACTCATGTTTTCTGTAGCAAAAATAAACTTTGTTTTATGTTTTTCTTTCTAATGAACTCCCATTCTCTCTCAGCTGTAGTTTTGCCAGTAGTCTCACTTCAGCCTACTTTCCATTCCCCAGTACAGTGGAAAGGGAAATTTTATTAGTTTCCCACTCCTTTTGTTTCTCAGATGAATGTGTGTGCACATGCTACACACTACTCAGCTTTCCCTTCAGCACATCCAGGCTGGATTTCCCTCATTTCAGTCAGAATGTACCTTGGATAGCAGAGTAAGTCTAAAAATACATGTACAATTCCTCCTCTTGGTAGAATTCTCAGGGCACTTCACCTCTGCTTGAGCAGTTTCAGCATGAACTGCTCCAGTTCAAACTTCACCTCCACACGTACTCTCAGTCTCCATCACTTTAATCTGCTTTCACCAAGCAGTTCCTCTGCTCTTTCTCCTGAGCTTTTCAGAATTCAAACATAACCAGCAAAATCCAAGCCAGGATAAAATGGACTGGACAAAGGTGGGTAAGGAATCCGCTGCATCAGACATGAAAAATTACATGAAAAGCAGGAGGGTGATTCTGTGATTTCCATTTCTGCTATTATTCCCCACCATGGATACACCTATATCTCCAATTTCAAAGCCCTGGAAAACTGTATGGAAAAGATGGCACTCCTGTGTTTGCCATATTGAACTGAAATTCTTCAGTTCATAAGACAAACGCTCTCAGTGTTATCAGAATTAAAAAGAACATACAGAATCATTATGTGATTCTATGAATATGGCAAAGCAATGTAATTACTAGAATTCAATCAAAGTAACATTTTGCTGTTACACAAAATGCTTTGAAGTGCTGAAATTTCTATCAGTTGATTTATTAGGTAAACAAAGCTTAATAATACGGAAAAATGGCCAAAAGCTGATAATTCTGGATTCAGCATGTATTAAACAGAAGTGAACTGCTTAGGGAAAAAGGTCCAAATAATGGTTCTCCCTCTTGTTGATTTGTTTTTTTTTGTCACTAAACCCCTTTTTAAGTGATATTTAAAAGGTTCCACTACGCTCCAGTGGACACATTTTAACCTTCCTGTAATCAGGAAAGGGAACCAAAGCCAGAGACAACTCAGCAGCTGAAATTTTATGAGAAGTCTACTTTCTTGTAGTGTCTTAAAAGTCAGGTTTTAAATGTTGTTTGCTTATAAAATTAATACTGCCAACACTGTCTATGGAAATACTGCTTTTAAACTGCAGCTGAACAGAAAGTATTAGCAATTCACCATCAAGACAGTAATTTTTTCTCTAAATCTTAACAGGTTTCCCTCAGGTTAAGACAAACCTTTGGGAGCAGAGTTAAACCTTGGCTACAAAAGACCCGTATGACAGCAAAATAAGATAAAATCCTGACCTTCTGAAGTCCTCCATTCTCCTCCACCAAAGGAGGCAGAGCACTGGTGCTATTGGTAGATGGTGGTTCGACATTGTAGTCACGAAAGCAGCAGAATAAGGTGCTAAAGATACTTCGACTCCTCTGCTTCTTCAAGCTGATATTACATTGGGACACTAGAGAAAAAAAAACACACAGCAGAAAAATAAATTCATGTATACAGACCTGCTTTTCCAGACCACAACAAGTGCATTTTTAAGATGTATAGTTATTATACTCAGAAGTCTTCAGCAAGATAATCCTACAGAGATTCTCCATCGTGCTGAGACCCACTTCCAAATCAACACATTTTTCCCTTGTTAGACTCATATGGTGATGTCAGCCCACTACAATCATACTGAGACAGTACACTGGGAGTTTTCCAAGTAATATCCAAAGCAAATAATGTAAATACACACAATAACTTGCTGCTAAAATGTGCCTCTGGACTGAGGAAGCAGAATATCTAAACCAAAAGAAAACCACTAAACGCCGGGCATAGTTTCCATCCAAATACAGCATCATGTGTGGAACATTTAAAACTTCTGCAAGGGTCAGGAAAAGCTCTGAGATGTTTCTGAGTTTCCTCTGTTACTGTTTGACAGCACTGCTGGAGGACAAAAAGACACAACACAGAGGCAGTGCTGGGAGCTGCACCACTGGCTGCAGGAACAAGGTTGCAGAGGGTGTTACTAAATAAACAGGAGCCTTGGCCTTGCTTTTCAACTTGTTTATTGGTCCACCAGGACTGAAAAAAAATACTAGCTTGGTAAAAAAATTACATACAGATCACTGAAAGCAAGTGTAACATTTTTAAAGACTGAAAACTGTAGATAAAAAGCAGTTTGGAGGAAAGAAATGCACGTAGGACACCTGGGGATTCCCCTCAGATTCAAATTCGTGAGAATTAAATCTTGAATGCACACAAAAATAAAATGGAGTAATACAGAAGAGTTGAAAAAAGTTTTAGAGTATTTTAAGTAATATTTGATTTGACGACCAAATATTTTAATGATCTGTTGTTATACTTCGAGGTATTACCTATCTAGAAGTATTTGTTTCCTGTGCTGGGTAGAAAACCAAACACTCCCCCATTCCAAAGTTAGAGGGTGAGTGGAATTCTCAGTGAGTCCCATCACACACATCAATATACAATTCCCCATCTTTCCTCCCCTCTCAGATTATTAGAGGACTGCCACATCTACCTGAATGTACAAATATATCAACACAAATGACACAATTGTTAATACATAAAGAAAATTTCAGTGGAAGAAGGAGCTGTGTGTGGAATGGAACTGATCTCCCTGGAAAACCTGAGGGATGGATTCCATCATGCTCTGAAGGTGTGCAGGTTCACACGAGTGCTCTGACAAGAAAGCCACATAGAACAGATTCTGAGTGACCTTCCAAGTACCCTCTGAAAAGAGAAACTAAATCTTCTGATTTTGTAGGCCCAGCATAAGTTAGACATGCAGACTTCCACCTCTAAAAGCAGCTGCAAGGTGTCCAACAAGTCCAACAATGATTTTCTGATCTCCATACAGTCTGTATCTGTGGCCTTTCAGTATGTAAAGAGGGCTTACAAAAAAAAGGGAGAGCAACTTTTTACACAGACAGAGAGCAACAGGACAAGGGGGAACCATTTTAAATTGAAAAATGAGAGATTTAGATTAGATATTAGGAAGAAATTCTTCCCTGTGAGGGTGGTGAGGCCCTGGCACAGGTTGCCCAGAGAAGCTGTGGATGCCCCATCCCTGGAAGTGCCCAAGGCCAGGTTGGACAGGGCTTGGAGCAACTGGGCTAGTGGAAGGTGTCCCTGCCCATGGCAGGGGATTGGAACTGAATTGTCTTTAATATCCCTTCCAACCCAAACTATTTCAGGATTCTGCAGTGAGCAATGCTCAGGTTCAGTTACTAACTGCTATTAAGAGGAAAGTGTACCAGTATCAAAAACTAAAAGTCTATAAAAACTCGCACCATTTAAAAAGTGCTCAGATAAGAGAATAAAGTCAGAATTGTGCACAGATTTGTGCATGTCCATGAGCTTAAGGAAGGTGTTTCATTACTTTAAAAGGCATTTGTAAACTGAAACCAGTCTAACACTGCTTATCAATACTCCAGTCAAACAGAAAACACACACACAACTCTAGTCACTGCTGGTACAAGTTACAGTAAAAGACTCATTCTCAGATTGTCACATTCTGTTTGCAGCAACATGAGTTCAGAAATCCCCAAAGGATGCCTGGGCAGTTGGGAAGGACTTTTTTAAAACAGCAAGAAAACTGGTATTGCAAGCACAAGCAAGTTTGTTGCAATATAAACCAGGCAAGGAGAACTCCTTTCCGACATTAAAAATTGAAATATGCTGAAATTAGAACGGGAAGGACAATGCTGTGTGTCCTGTTCCCTACAGCTACTGCCACAGAAACCTTCCTCATAATTTTTATATTGTTTCCAGCCTCTATTTAAGAATATGAGGGCAAATAATGCCATTTGAATGCAGGTATGAATCACAGCAGCGTGTTTAAACTTTTAACTTGCAGCAGATCAATGGGAACACCATGACCCTTTCAGAACTAAACTGTATCTTCTCTACTTACCACAGAAAGAGGCAGTAAACAGCAAATTGTCTAAATAAACATTCAAAAATCTCAGACAAGAGAAATACTGATTGGTCCAAACCTTCTAAGAACACTTGGATCAAATCACACATTTGAAATCTGGCCACTCCCTTTCACTTACTGAAATATTTGTTCTAGGAAAAATAATCCTTCATGTTGGTTTTAGTCTTAACAATTTTGCCATTCATAACACAGTGGTGTTTTAAATAGGTCTTTCCACTAATTCAGATGTTATTTTAAAGGGATATTCTTTAAAAATAATGTATTATAGAGGTTTTACTGTGATTTAATAAATGATAATTTTGGATGCAGTAAGGAACTGAAGATCTCAAGTGGACTTATGTGCCGTGCTGTATTAACACACAAGGGTATTATCAGAAGTAGAAAAAATTTGCACCATATTTCATTTTTAGCAACTATGACAGTGTTGTGCATCATGGAAAATATCTTCCCCTTCCTTAGTTACACTGAACCACCTGCAATCCCTGTGCTGTTTGCTGGATTTGCTTTTCTTAAAGCAGCGACAGCGCAAATATAACAACTACAAAGGTGAAAAGAAGCATTAATATTGAATCACTACCATAAATTTGGGCATTCTGGATGCCAGTACATTTTTAAAAAGGCAAAACTTCAGAGGACAAAACCTGGCATTCCTTAAAAGCTTATAGATAAGATCAGGTAGTAATGACACTGGAAGGGTAAACTGAATTAGCTAAACTCCAAGTGTGAGTGGCATCCAGCACATGGAATTTCCCCCCCCCCCGTCCATCTTTTGGAAGTTGCAACTTCAATTTCTGCATCAGTTCTCAGCAAATTCCACTTTCATGGCTTTGTCCCATCACATTTTGAACCCACACTGACTTTTAGTGCCAAAGCATCCCATGGCAGGAAAGTCCACAGCTCTGCCAAGAGTTCAGCTGCTTCATAACTCTGACCCTCCATGTTTCTACAGTCTCTAATTCACATTTTTGAGCAGGAGGAACTAGAACACACACAATATCGAGGATGAAAGGAGAGCACCATGAATTTATACACCCACACAATACTTTGTTCTCTTACTTTCCTAATATCTTATTTGAGTTTTACAACAAGTGAGCGCTGGGATAATGTGATTTTTCAGATCTGATTATAACACCAAAATCTCTTCATTAGCAGATATTTCAGGCATCACTGCAAATGTAAATCAAGAATTCTTATGTCTTCCCATGCAGAAAATGTCACATGTATCTACACTTAATTCCATCTGCTATTTTAAAGGCCAGTCATTCAGAATCAGGCTGCCTTCCTACAATTCTTCAGTTAGGTTTTAGGTGTATATACAGGTGCACATATATGCACACACATCTACAAAGATGCACAAACACTCAAGTCTTTCCCTTACAAATTTTGTCACCTTATTTCCTTTTCCATATGGTTTAAGGCCACGCTGAAGAGCAGACTGCACAGATCCCTGTGTAACTGCTGCCCCAGGGATCTCATGGAGGTCTGCAAGAGCCCTCAGTGGAGCACTTTGTCAAATTATCTGAATTTGGAAAAGGTTACCTTGGAAAAGGTAGCCAGAGTCAGAAAAAAGAGCACAGTTCTTCCTGTTCAGAAGGGAAGTCCCTCTGGTACAGATTTCCCCTAATTTAGAAGTATAGGGTCTCACCTATAATTTCCAGATGTCATTTCTAAGGACAAGACTCACTGATCATAATCCATGTGCTACCCACCCACTGCTTGTATGTTAATTCCTGAATTGCCTGGAATCTTCTGGAATCCAAAGCTGGTCCACAGAACTGTGCTTATCAAGGTCTTCTGGCAAGTCCTAATAAACCCACTAAGCCTGGGGAGGGGCTCAAGGAAAGATAAAGATAAGTTTTAAAATAAACTACTGTACCACGTAAGCTTAGATGGAAGTATAGAACCATACTGGGTGGCTGGACAAAGAGAACAGGAAGAAAAACCACCCCACAACAAAGCCCAAATGTTACAGGCAAATGTTATAATAGAAATTAACACCAGAAGTCATCTACAGCATCTCCTCCAACCTCCCTTCACACAGACCATCCTTGGGAGGCACAAGGGTTGTGCTGCTCCTCTCCCACCAGGACAGTTCCAGCAGCAGCACAAGCCACACAGCAAAGGAAAAGATTTTCCCTCATGCACTGAATTATAAAAAAGTTTGGTTCAGGGCTTCTCCCATCACATTTTGCTGTAGGGGTGTGAAATTTCTACACCAGGTAGTTGTGCAGCCTCATACAACCAACCCATCGCTGCTGCAGGAAGCCACTATGGGATAACTGGAAGGCTCCAGCCCATCCCTCTGCAGCCAGGAGTGAGCTAATTACCGCTGGGTTTTTCCTAATTAAATGAATGCAATATCCAGTTCTCCCAAATAATATAAGCTGGGTAATGAAGAGATTTTCCGCTTACAGATGAACTCGCTAAATGCAATAAAACGAACATCTGGGTAGGACGAGCTCTCTGCTAAGAAGTTTGTTTATAGCACAGGATGGAAAGACCCCAGTCAGAAT